GCCATACTGACATAAATGAACATTTGCACAATATTCTAATTTTTCGAGTTTCACCTGTATGAATTCAACCATTTTTGTTTCATTTATAAGATCTATGGTTTACTTTCTATTTGGATTGGTGTATATACTGGACAAGTCAGTATATGTCGGTTCAGAAGTAATTCTTGTTGATTTAATTGGGACATATTCCCAGATAGTTGTATATAGATTTAGAGACTTACAGAATAGTCCTATATAGGTGGAAAATTGTAAATGGTAGACTCGAAACCTAGCTATCCTGTTCTAGTGGGCTGAGAAGGACAGCTTTACTTTTGTTCCTGGGTCTGAAACTAATTGCAGGTAGGGAGTGAGATTTCTTATGCTGTCTTCAGAAGATGTATGGACAATACAGAGGTTATTTAGGGGCCTGTCACTAATATCACTGTGTTCTTTCATCCGTAGAGCTTTCCATGGATCTGCCAAGGAACTCTATGGTAGATGTACAGTATATAAAACATTCTCCATATGCTTTTCCTCTGACAAATCAAATTCATCTGATTTATATTTCTTCTCCCACCCTCAACATCGAAATGTGTGCTTTTGTAGTAACCAATTAAAAGAAAACCCTGCTTGAAAGATAAATATTGGAGAAATGGCTCTTGGGAAAATCATTAAACATGTCCTCTTCTGCTGGTTGTGTGGCTCATTTGCCCTTCTGGGAGGTCTTTTTTTCTTTGTTTTAGGTTTCCTAAGGGCTGTTAAGGCAATATTACATGCATCGATGTGTTTTTGACTTCATGTTTCGGAACATTTCCTTAGCCAGATTCTAATCAGTATGTAAATGTTATTGAAATTAATGGGCTTTAGTATTAACAGAGTTACGGTTAGCCTGTTCATCTGTTGTATTATGATTTTCTGGTCTCATATTATGCCTGCCTTTTCTAGCATTGAAGATAATGAGGATGATAGCAAAATGGCTGACCTTCTCTCTTACTTTCAACAACTCACTCTTCAGGAATCATCCATCAAACTATGTCAGCCTGAGCTTGATCTCAATCAGACTCATATCTCAGGTAAAAGAACATTTTTGTAGGAAAATAGTGGACATATTTTAGTACAAAAGATCATGAAAGGGATGTTCAGAAACCATGCTGAACAAGCAAAAAGAGTTTGAGATGTTTAACAGGAACTGTATGGATTTTAGCAACAAATAGTTCCTTCTTCATTCATATATGTTACAGGCTTAACATAATGCTTTCCCTGTAGTAAATACATTTAGCTGAAGAAATTTATTCTAAATATAGGGATCTGCAAAAAATTTTTGTTTAAAATTATCTTATAAAACTACCACGCATATGTTTTGCACTTAATTTCACTGGGTTCCTAACTGAAAGCCGATTTATAAAAGGCCTAATCTGATGATTATGACAGTAGTTGCTGTAAATGCTTATTCTGCAAGTTTTGTCTTGCTCATCTTAGAATGATTTTTTTAAATTGTCTTGCTCTGTTTAATTAATATTGGTTTATTGTTTGTGAATGGGAGAGGAAGTGCTGTTTATGCCGCCTTGACCTCTTGAACTGAAGGTGGGATATACATCTAACAATTTAATAAATAAATGATATGTGCTGATACCACATATTGTGATGGAAGGCATGAGCGGGGAAGGTTCTGGAATGGAGCTTCAAGGTTGCCAGGAGTGGGGAGAGACATTCCAAGGGAAGCACCTCCTCTGTCCCCAGCCAGAGTGCGGGAAAGCCAGGAGAATGAGACTGGCCCATCCCTAGGGCCTCGTGGTTATAGTAACTGTTGTTGTGGTGTAGATTTAGTCTGGCAAGATTCTGTCTATTAGGTGTAAGCTAATAAAGGAGCTTAACTGTTCTGGACTGTCTCACTGTTGTTCTTGGGCTGAACCTGACATCAATCTCACCAGACTCCTACTCCCATCAAGAGGGAGGAATTCTTAAGCATGGCAACGGATCCCCAGGGAGTTTCTTTGACACCTCAGCATTTGGCAGCGGCCTTATTACAGCATCAGCAACAAGTGGATGCGCAGATCAATAATTTACAGACCACAGTGGCACAGTTGGTGCAACAACTCAGGCGGGCCGGCCAGCAAGTAGTGGCTGGGCTGCCAGTTGTGTTGCGTTCCCATGGAAGCATGCTGGAGAAGTATGGAGGTGAGATGGACCAGATGCGAACCTTCCTGGCGCAGTGTGAGTTGTTCATGAATGGCAGACTGGCAGAGTTTCCTACAGACTGTATGAAGGTGTCCTTTGTGTTGAGCTTGTTGAAGGGAGCTGCTGCTAAGTGGGTGACCCCCTTGCTAGAAGCTGACGATCTGGTGCTCAACAACTATCAGAACTTCGTCAGGACTTTTGGGCATTTTGGGGATCCCATACAGAGGCTCGCTGCTTGTCAGGGCATTCGGAAACTCAAGCAAGGCAACAGGCCAGTAATGTTGTACATTGCAGTATTTAAGCTGTTGGCGGGGGATGTCGAGTGGAATGAGGTGACTCTTATTGACCAGTTTCGTGAGGGGTTGGACCCTGAGCTTTGGAGTGAGCTGATAAAGCAGGGAATCCCGAATACTCTGGATGATTTCGATCAGCTCTGTGTGGTGGTTGATGCCAGGCTAGAGGACTTAAAGCAGTATCTAGCTTCCAGTCCCCATGGTGCCTTACAGTCTCCCCTCGCAGTTCTCTCTCCTCCTCATGTCGCAGCTGCCGAGTCAGCGGAGGGGGAGCCGATGCAGATCGAAGCGGCTAGGAGGGCAGTTTCCATGGAGGAGAGGCAAAAGAGAGATCTGAACCTCTGTTTTTACTGCAGAGCCCCGGGGCATATGGTGAAGGCATGTCCAGCGAGGAACGTACCAGCAAAGACCAGGCGCATAGAGCAGACCCCTGCTAAACGTGCAGGTTCAGCCCAAGAACAACAGCGAGACAGTCCAGAAAGTTAAGCTCCTTTATTAGCTTACACCTAGTAGACAGAATCTCGCCGGACTAAATCTATACCACAACACCAGTTACTATAACCACGAGGCCCTAGGGAGGGGCCAGTCTCATTCTCCTGGCTTTCCCACACTCTGGCTAGGGACTGAGGAGGTGCTTCCCCTGGAATGTTTCTCCCCCCTCCTGGCAACCTTGAAGTTCCATTCCAGAACCTTCCCCGCTCATGCCTTCCATCACACATATTCTGTTATCTGAAATTGGAAGAAGAAAATTTCATTTTTAGATGTTCACATCCATTGTTACTAGAATACATCAGAATTGCATTGTACATGTAATTATGTACATTATGTTGATGTAGAGTAATGATTTTTGTAAAATATATGATTTATGAAAAATTCAGCAATCTGTAAAAATAGCTGTTTGGATGAAAATACCATGCTTAATGTTTTAAAAAAACTATATTTGAAGATGTGTTAAAGTTTCCATCCCAAGTCAGTAATTTAGATTCCAAGGAGCCCCTATTTTTTTTTTTTAAACATGGACCCAAATCAGACTACTGCAGTTATTCTAATTTTTACATTTTTTCCCCATAGTGTTGCCTATGGAGCTGTTAATGTATATTTTTCGATGGGTAGTTTCCAGTGATCTGGACCTGAGATCTTTAGAACAGTTATCATTGGTCTGCAGAGGTTTTTACATATGTGCCAGGTAAAATTGAAACTATCATGCAATAAAAATTTCATTTATCTGGATAAAAATGAGTAATTTTAGGATTTTTAAAATAATAAGTGGTGACAACCAAATTTTTTATGGTTATAAAAACAAGGTCTTTACTAATAAATTAATTGAGTTTTTTGAAGTTTGAGGAGGTAAAAAAAATGTGGTCAGTTGACTAATAATACAAAGTGTTTTTAAAGCAGAAGCTTCACTAAAGCAACTAAAAACTTACTTTAATCATCAGGCCTCATTCCATGCTAGTTACCAAATAAACCTGTTAGTGTGAAATAATAAACTTCCCTTTTAAAATGTTTAAATGAATTACTGTAACGTTATTACAGTTAAGTAATGCCTTTATAAATGTAAATTATTTGGTGATTAATTTTTGTTCTAATTTTGTTCCAGAAAACTAAGGTCAGCTTATGATTATACAGTTTTTAAAATATGAAAGTAAAACAGAAATGAAATAAAAAACAGGTATAAAAAACCCCAGAAATTTATGGAAGTGTGAAGATTAATGATGGAAAGCAGTGATATGTTTCCATTAATGGAACAGTATTGAAGCAATTTCTCTTTAGTTCCCTAAGCAGCCTTTGGATTCTGCTCTGACAAATTAATTGGTAGGGGTTTGCAGGTTGGTTTCATTTCAAATAACTGATTTCATTCCATCTGTTGAGCTAATTGAATTCAATTATTCAAATCAATTTGGAAAATGAAGTTGTTTTGACCTTCCTATTCAGTTTGGATTCAGTTCAAAGATTCAGTCAAAGTGACTTTGAATTGAACTTCTGAATCAAAGCTGTGGTGAGCCTATAAAGTTTTGCAGTCTGAGAAGTTCATTTTATCAGTTGCATAATCTATTATCCTGATTTGGCATGTATAATACCTATACACTCATATATACAGGAAGAGAGGAGTCTTAAAGATAATTCTGATTGTGATATTTGATTCTAAGGCTAGATCTACACATTTAGTAAAATGAGGCAGGAAAAGGTAGTTGTACTCCAGTCTAATTAAGCTAAAAGCATATGCATGGGCACACACACAGTATAAAACTTATACAGGAGGGAGCAGGGTGAGCTAAATCTTGTATACTAAGGGCAATTTTTCAGAATTTATTTGCAATTGAATAATAAAGTCTCATTTTAAAGGCACTGTACAACCATCATTTTCAGTTTTGATAACCAGAAACACTATTTCTATGAAGATACTTGGTTGATAGATTTTCAGAAGCAGTGGGATCAAGTTAAATAACAGTGTCATAGTTTGGATGAAAATACAAGATTACATCCAGTGGACTTCCCTTCAGTCTATTGACCCTTTGTCCATTAATTCTTTAAAGCAGATTTAGGGTGTGGAGGAACTAAACAAGAGAAAAAGGAGGAATCCTTTCTGTGGATAGATCCCATTGGATAAACCCATAGGTCTTGCGTTGGGTTCCTGTTGCAACTGAAGCATGCTGCTTACAAATAGTCATTTCTCTTTATACTCAAGTATACTCTATGATTTTGATACTCTCGTTTATGTTAAAATTTGAATAATCAGATTATGCTGTCTTTTTCCAGGGACCCTGAAATCTGGCGTCAGGCTTGTTTGAAGGTTTGGGGCAGGACATGTAATAAAATGGTTCCTTATACCTCATGGAGGGAAATGTTCGTGAAAAGACCTAGAGTTCGATTTGATGGTAAGAAACAGCAGTGTTGTGATGATAATCAGGAAAAGCAGGAGCTGCATAATTGCAGCAATAGTTTCTGATTGTAAATAAACAGATTGGTTGGAAATGTGACTGGGTATACTTGGGGCTATTAACTCTTATTGGCATTCTAAATGTATACTTTGGCATTGCAACACAGCCCCAGTTTTATACACCTACTGCCTTTTTAATCACTGAATGGAATAATTGTGATATTTGCATTTGGTGTGATACACTCTGGGAAGGAGCTTCATAGGAGGAGCTAATGAAACCCTCCCCAAAACAATTGGTGTGGCAAGGACACAGTTTTCCTGGATAATAAGGAAAATTTTAATTAAATAAGGATATTTTAAATTGTATATGCCTCTGCATGTGTGTGTGTCCAGAAGCTGCATTCCAATAAAGGACAGGGTCATGAAAAAAGTTAAAATTAATTGAATTAATTATTTTAAATAATTACCTGTAAATATAGTGCCCCATTTGTAAAATTAATTGACTTTTGTCTCTGTGTGCACATAGAGTGCACACTCATATACAAACACTTAAGTATACGCACTCACACATATCCTCTTTCTTCCAACAGAAACAAAAAAGGAATAGTACTGTAGAGGAAATGGCATGAGGGAAAGAAACATGTATAATGAGAAGTGAAGGAAAGAGAAATTAGAGAGGGAAGGAAACAAAATAATACAGAGATGAGACAGGAAAGGAAAGATAAGAGAAAGATTGTGAAAAGTCTTTATATTTGCAGGCATAAATCCACGAATGCTTACTTTGTGTGAGTCCCAATGAGTTGAAAGGCTTTTATTCCCAGCCAAGTATGCCTAACGCCTGTCCTGTTTAGACATTATGGAATGTGTACTCCATATGTGACCATCTTCTCACATTTAAAGGAGAATGGTGCAAGACCATACTAGTCCCACCTATCCCATTCTTGCCCTTCACAAGAAAGAAAGGGGGAGGAGCTACTTGTGTAACTCTTGCCTCACTGAAGGTAAGAACTAATCAGTGCCTCCAAAGATGAAGGATGCTTCTTACCTTCTCCTGCCTCTCTTATATTCACTTTCTCGTATTATTTGTAGGTAGATATCTCTATATCCCTCCTGCCCCTTAGCCTGGACAACTGTCTTTATTTAGTAAATATAAGAAGGCTTTCCAACTTAGAGATACTTATTTGTAGAGAAAACCTGTCATCCTTTCCAATAAATACAGGAATTGCAATAGATGAAATTATAACAGGTAAATTAATAGTGCAAAGAAGACTGAAAATTGTAGTATGCTGTCTGTTAAAGAATCCTAAAATGTATGTCATTGAATATTTAAAGCATGTTTTGATGATAAGCAGGTAACTCCATATTTTATAGGGGTATATATCAGCAAGACAACATACATTCGTCAAGGAGAACAGTCTCTTGATGGCTTCTATCGGGCATGGCACCAAGTGGACTATTACAGGTACAATCATTTTAAAATGACTGAATTAATTATCTCTCTTGCCTTCCTTCCAGTGCAGTTCACATATAATGCTATAAACCATGATAAACAGTGAATTCAACAGGATTACCTGTATATAAAAAGTCATGGTAGTTTAGATAACTGGAGCCATGTATTTTAGGACTAAAGTTTATATTTCCGTTTTTAGAAATTCCTAAGGTATTTAAAAATCACTAGGAGAAAGTTGTTTGGGGATTCCAAACTCTAAAGTTTCCATAACCCTCAGGCTATGAATATACAGAGCTAGTTTAAATTATGCAAATTACATCCTGAAATGAGATACTTTTGAATCGTAGTTTGATACCCCAGTATTTAATCTTCATGCTGATATCCCACTACTGGGATTCTTCCAACAACAAAACTGAATCATCATGGTTGATGAAATTCTATTGAACCATGTTCTTTTGGTGTATTCCATGGTAATGTTCTGTGTATGCAATGACATTTCAGAGTTTCTTTCACTATAATTTCTTTATACTTGGAGTCTTTGGGAACTGCTGCATGAAAAAACTAACTTTCCTTTGCACCCAGAAGACACAGAATGTTCTTGGTTGGCTAATAGCTCATACAATGGCTCTTTTGGTGGACAAAGCCAGAGTTCCACATTTGCTTGTCCCAATAAACCTGATTCATCAAACCATTGAGAGTTTGTTCACTGTACCTGCTTGTGGGTAATGGGTGCATATGAGTATATTGCTGCTAATTCAGGCATAGGCTGACATATAACTAACCTACTGTAATTTCAGTATGAAACCGAGCAAGGTTTAATGGATTCAGATAGATTTGGAAGTTAGTACAGGGACTTTTGGATCCTTACATTTATAATTTGTATGTTAATATTTATTTTTAACTAGAAAAATGTGTATGTTGGAAAAGACGTTTCTTCATTTTATTTTTATCTTTTAATACATTTTTGTGAACAAATCCATATGGGTAAAATGTTGTACAATTATTTTAGGTACCTGAGATTTTTCCCAGATGGCCAAGTAATGATGCTAACAACTCCAGAAGAACCTCAGTCTATTGTTCCTCGATTACGGACTAAAAACACAAGGTACATTCAATGTCTGTAACATAGAATTGTATTGTCCATTGGATCCTGATACTTTTAATGAAGAAAAACTTTGGTGAACAGTAAAGCTACTATTATTTTTTATTGTTTAGATGATTAAACTAAAATATACATTGATCAAATACTTTAAAGATTGTAACACCAAATTATCTTTAATGAAAGAAAACTGGGTTGAATCTGGAGTTAATTATAATTTGATTAAGCCTTTTGAATCATGGGGATTTAAGTTAGTCATTATTAATTTAAATCCTATTTATTTTATGATCCAATTTAACATCAGCAGTGTTTTTTCTAGCACTCGAATGAATATATTTGCATGAAATGTTTTCCTTCTAAATCTCAGAACTGATGCAATCCTGCTTGGACATTATCGCCTTTCCCAGGACACGGACAATCAAACCAAAGTATTTGCTGTAATGACAAAGAAGAAGGAAGAGGTATTTATGTAAGAAAATGTTAGATGGTGGATAGTATCAACTGACATTGATTAATAAAATGTTCCATTAGCATAATTTGTTAAATAGAAATACAACTTTGAAGCAGCTCCTTCTGCAAAAAAAAAAAAAACCCTCTCCAAATATTCTCCTTAAACTCTGATTTTGAAGGTAAACTGTCTTCTGGCATAATTTTGTTTTTTAAATCTGGAAGAATTCAAAAACAAGAGAGAAAGTACATCCAGAAGGTAGGAAAATATATGGATTCTGCATTCATCTTTGGATATTGCTTCATAATTTTAATTGCTCTGTTTGCTGCTAGTCTGATCTAGGGAAGGTGAACTGTAGGCTTAGAGAGAGGACTGCTTAATTAACTATGTATAGGTAGTCCTTGACTTAACAATCATATGTTCAGCGACTGTTCAAAGTTACAAATGTGTGAAATAAGTGACTTACATCTGGTGCCCAAAGCTATGGCCATTTGAGTGCCCGCATGGTCATTTTTCGTGATCCAAATTCGGGTGCTTGGCAGCCCTCCTGCACTTACAATTGCAGGGGTGCTTCAACTCCCCCCACCTGCCTATCTCCCCCTGATCTCTGGCCTCTTGGCCCCCTACCACCCTGCACTCCACCATCCCAGCTGACCTTTGCCATCTCCTTGCTCCAAAAAGTCCCTTTGCAAAAAGCTCCTGGAGTGGACTTTTGCTTCACACTGCAAAAAAAAAGAGAGAGAAAGTAGCACCCCCTTTCTCCCCCCTCATTTTTTTCTCTTCCCCCGTGAGTAGACCAACCCGCTCCTGGGAACTGGTCCTCTGTCCCTGATAGGCAGGTAGACTGGGCCCTTGTGGCCCCCTTCAACCCTCTCCTTTCCATTTTCCATGGATAGACCGGTCCTCCTTCTTGGAAAGGTGGGTAGACTGGTCCTGCCTTTGGCCACCAGGTACACTGGGTCAGCCTTAATGCTCCAGAGCTAGTTTTTGGCACACCACCAAAACAAAAATCCCACCCCAAAAGCAG